TTAACTAAGAACCATGTACAAAATCCTTAGCCTAGCGTTTAAGGATCTCCACAATCAGTATCCAGGCATCCTTACTAGCCTGTTCCTTACAGATACAACTTTGGCGAATGTCTTCTGCTTTCCTACCTCAGTGCCTTTGCTTGGGCAGTGCCCTCACGTGGAACTAGCTGTCTTCTCCCATACTCCTTCAACTGTTAACAATGTTCTGAATGGCCCTATCCCCAGTGAGAGAAAAATGGATGAGGCATATCATTTATTGAACACAAATTCTGTCTAGTGTTTACAAATGATCCTAATTCCCATAAACACATATGGCTTACTTCTACATTTTTTTGAGGAAGGAGTTGAAGAAACTGAGAACCAAAGGAGTTAACCCAAAGTCATCCAAACCAAACAGGAAAGAAACCAAACCAACCCCAGAGCGTTTTGTACTTTTTAATAAAACATCACACAGATCAGATGGCACTTAGGTAAACGCGGTTCTCCCCTCTTGCCACAACCACATAAAAATAACAACTGAACTACAGAACAAAGCCGCCTGACCCTGAGCTGGATGGAAGTCCTACAACTACGAGATTAAAGCAGCAGCCACACGGAGACTGGTAGGAGGGCGGAGGCAGAAGGGCTGGTCCCACACCCATGGTGGCAGATAAAAATCAGGGGACACCTCGGCTGAGAAGGTCCTCCCTGAGGACTGAGGGGTCCCCATCCCACACCAGGCGCCCAGCTCAGGGTTCCAGTCCCAGGAAGAGAGTCCCCATCACTTCTGGCTGGAAAACCAACGGGAACTGAGGTTGAGGGAGGCTGAGGCGGCTGGAGCCCAGGCAGCTCCTCTTAAATGACCCACAAATGGACTTACTCAGACCCACTCCCTCCGGGCTCCAGCATGGGGGGGAGGCAGCTTGAAAGGCACCAGAGACATACGGGGAAGAACTGAGTTGCTTGGCATCAGGGTGAGGGCTGGAGGGGCAGCTTTCTCCCGGACAGAACTGCTGGCAGAGCCTTTGTTCCTTTGGTGAGCCCTTCCCCAGGTGGGCAGATGGGGACCATATCTGGGACTCCAGCAACCTGGCTCACACTCTTTGCCCACCCTGCTGATTCCTTGAGGCCCCGCCCCACCCAACTTACAGGTCCACCCAAGCTGTTTCCAGTGCCTTGACCATAGGATTGGCCTGTCTTGGATCCTGCTTCAGAGTTTCCTAAAATCTCTCAAACAAGCAGCATCTGATCTCAGCAAGCCCCATACCCCTCATTAAGTGGCCCAGGACTGGCACTAGAAGCAGCCAGCCTTGGTTCACAACTTGGCTTTTCCTGGACACTTCCAAGCCCAGCACAAGAAGCAGCCATCTGCAGATCACTCTGTAGCTTATGCTGGTGGCCCCGGGTAGAACACAGGCAGTGGGTGACCTTGCCCCAGAGCCAGCACACCCAGTGGACAGCTTCAGACCACGTCGAAGCACCACCACCCAACCACCTCCACAGGTGACACACTCAAGGAGTAGGTTCAGTGGGTACCAGAGCCCTGCTGAAGTCAGTCTTGCTCTGTGTGGTGGGCCCTGCACAGCTGATCCTCCAAGGGAGTCAGAGGTCAGTGGTCAGTGGGCACAGCCAGTCCTTGCAGCTGATCAGCCTGAGTAAATCCCTCCCACTGACGTGCCAATAGCAATCAAGAGTCGATTTCAACAGAAAGGTGTAAAAGCCCACACGAGGGGTGCACCACCTCCAGGGCCCAACAGGAAGGCTGTGCCACTGGACCCTACAGGACACCTACTACAATAGGCCACCCTAGGAAGCCTCGGAGACATAGCAACTCTACCTACTATATAGAAACAAACACTGGGAGGCAGCCAAAATGAGGTGGCAAAGAAACATGTCCCAAATGAAAGAACAGAATAAAACTCCAAGAAAAGAACTAAACAAAATGGAGATAAGCAATCTAACAGACACAGAGTTCAAAACACTGCTTATAAGGATACTCAATGAACTTAGTGAGAATTTCAGGGAACTTCATGAGAACATCAAGGAACTTAGTGAAGACCTCAAGAGCATAATAAAGGACCAGTCAGAAATGAAGGATGCACTAACTGAAATAAAAAAACAATTTACAGGGAATCAATAGTAGAGTAGGTGAAGCCAAGAAACAAACTATCAATTTGGAATATAAGAAAGCAATAAACACCCCATCAGAACAAAGAACTTATATGCATATATGCATAACCAATAGACACAGACAATAGTATGGGGAAGGCAGGAGGGGAGGAGGGAGTCAAGGGGGGATAAAAAGAAGGACATCTGTAATACATTCAACAATAAAGATAAGTTTAAGGGGAAAAAAAATAAAGAAAAAACATTTTTAAAAAGGGAAAATGGCACTATCTACCACACTGATAACAGTGAGAATTACATGAGGTAATATAAAGCGCTTAGAATTATATGTGGTCCACAGTAAACAATCAATGGTAACTATTACTGCTGTTGTTGCTATTTACATGCTATGATATGTAAACTCTGACAATACCAATTATATGTTCTCACCGCTTCCAAATCAACTTTGCATAATGTAAAAGCTTAATACTGTATTTTTATGTATGCTCAATAAATATTTGCAGAACACACTAATTTTTAAACAATCATTAACCACCATGCTATATTTTTTAAAATTCACTTGTCTATTAATTGCTTCCTCTTTTGAGAAAACCATTAATGCTTACCAACTTTCTTCCCTTTTTGTCATGTGAAACTACCATATGTAACGCCGTATGGTAGTAATATGTCAAATGGTGCAAAACACTATTTTGACTCAAACTCATCTTGACTTCTGCTAAACATTAATTCCCAGATTTTGAAATGTCCAAAATCATACTTTTTATTTAAACTCCAACTGTTTATAGGTCATACCAACATGAATTAAGCATACCATGAAATTTGACCAAACCATTTCATTCCATATATTTCTTTCTTGCTTGCTTGCTTTTTTTTTCATCCTCATCTGAGGACATTTTTTTCCAGTTTTTGTTCAAACAGAGAGGGAGGGAGGGAGGGAGGGAGGGAGGGAGGGGGAGAGAAAGGGGGAGAGAGAGAGAGAGAGAGAGAGAGAAACATCAATGTGAAAGGGACACATCAAGTGGCTACCACCCGCATGATCCAACCAGGGCCGGGGACAAACTGCAACCGAGGTATGTGCCCTTAGCGGGACCGAACCCAGGTCTCTCTGGACCACAGGCCAACGCTCTAACCACTAAGCAAAACCAGCCAGGGCTCACTCCATACATTTCTATGGCAATAACTGTAAAACATAAAATGCTTTCCTATCCAATGTAACTCAAAGGCATAAATCTATCATACCCTTAGTCCTACCCTTTGTTAAAATTAGTGCCTGAAACACTCCTAATACATCCATGTTACTCTAAGATGCAGAAAACATCAAAGGAACATCAAAAGCTAGTAACAATGCGCTTGAGGGAAATTAGCTTTAAATAAGGGTAGATGAGAATTTACCCCAAACGCTTCAAGTACTAACACCTCACAAGCCAAGATTCTGTCCACATGACTTACTATTACACATGGAGACATCAAGCTGGCTTGAGTTCTAATAAAAGTAAAATATATAGTAACAAAATAGTTTGTCATTTCTGACAGAAATAACGGGGTTCTATCCCTTTGTTTAAACAAGACACTGAGGCTTAACTGTGTTACACATTTTATCTCAATTCATTCTTACGATTCTTCCCTGTTTACAGATAATGATCACAGAATTAGGAAATACCAGAGCTGAAGGCTGAACCCAGCCTGATCCCCAAGTTTGGGATCCGGCGTTTGGACACAATCCACAATAATAAGGTATACATTAACATCTTCCTCTTCATACACATGTATTTAAAAACAAACAAAAGCTTCGTGAAATACCTACTCTTCCTCCACAGGATGTCCTCTGATATTTCTCTCTCCCTCTCTCTAATGTTAATGTCAATGCACTAAAATGATTCCAAAATCCATTCATAATTTCCCATGTCCCTGCACTACACTTCTTGCCTCCTGTTTAAGTTTTCTTTTTCTTTTGCTATCACGGTCCACTTGTGCGACTCTGAAGTGGAGCTCATCTCTTCGACCCCTAAAAAATGGTCCTTCCATCGATTGGCCGCTTCCATCTTGGGGTGACGCGCTTCGCTACGAGAACTCTTTGGCAGTACACCCATCTCGCTTCCATTGCATCAAAACTGCAGATGTTATCCTCGGAACACAATAGATCATTGTGGGGAGAACTGCCTTCGTGTTCACGGTTCCCGCTGCGTCGCTGACAAATGACAGTGGGCAGGCTTGGGGCAAACAGAAGGGCCCCGGCGGCCGCCAGGTGCCGAAACGGGGCACAGAGCCGCTACTGCCAAATTAGGCCAAAACCGAGCAAGTGACCACCAGCGGGCAGCGAAAGCGGCTGCCACCCAAGTTGCCCGAGTGCTTCTGGGGTCGCCCGGCTTCGGGGTCGGCCCACCCCGCATCCTCCCTCGGAGCGGGGCGACTCCACCGCCGAGCGGCCGGTCGAGGAGCGCAGGGACGCGGAACCCGGCCCCGACGGGTCACGTCCCACCTGCCACCTGCGCTTCCAGCGGGGCGGGGGCTAGAACAAGGAGGTGACAGCCTCCGGTTTCCAAAGATCAGAGAGTCCCCGCAACTCACGTCGAGCGACTTCGCCTGGGGACTTCGCGGCAAGTGCTAGACGAGAAGCCCCCCAACATCTCCCCAAGCTCCTGCCGCCTCGGCAGGGGGACGTGAGAAGCCAAACGGACACACCAGCAACTTCAGAGACACCCAGACTCTGGGGATGGAGGTGTGGGGGCCTCGGCCTCGCCAGGGCACAGCTCCCCCCGTATCTTTACGAAAAGCCTCGTTTCCTCCGCGCCCAGCCTGGGGAGCCCCAGCGAAGACCTCGCGGCTCCGGGGCGGGCGAGGGGTGTGTGCTCGGCCCGGGCCGCCCCCGCCGCGCCGCGCCTCGGGGTGCTTACCTGGCAGCCTCACCCCGCGACACACAAGGCGGGCCGGCGCGTCTCTGCAGGACAGGTCCTAGCCTGACTCCATGACTGCAGGTCCGCACCGACCCACAGCCCGGAGTCGGAGCGCGGAGGACAACACCGCGGAGGCGGAAGTCCCGCCCCGCGCGCCCCATTGGCTCGCGCCCGCCGGCAGACGAGAGCCATTGGGCCACAGAGCTGCTCGCTAGGGCTGCGTCCCACCCCCACGCCGGCGTCTCCGCCCGCCGGGCCGGCTCGGAGAAATGCCGAGTTCGCGGAGCCGCGTTCGCGCCGCGTGACCGGCCTTCCCCGGAGGGACGGCGGGGTGGGGCTGGCTTCTGAGCCCGCCCTTGGCGGGGGTGGGGAGCGGCCCGAGGCCTCGGCGCGGCGGGGGCGGCCCGGGCCGAGCACACCCCCCTCGCCCGCCCCGGAGCCGCGAGGTCTTCGCCGGGACTCCCCAGGCTGGGCGCCGAGGAAACGGGGCTTTTCGTAGAGATACGGGGGGGAGGAAGGGGGGAAGCCGGCGGGGTGCGCGGCCCTGGTCGGAGGTGGCTGGGGCCGGAGCAGCCGGGCGCCCAGCTGGCGGGCCTGGCTGGTGCCAGCGCGTCTCTTCCCTGCACCGCACTCGCCCGACCGGCTGGCGAGGCGGGACCAGGCCTCATCCCCGCTGCACGGGTGAGCGCTGGGGGCGGCTCGCAGGGGGCCAAGGCCACCGCCTGCGAGTCCCGGGCGAGGGGTCGGAGGGGCAGCCGGAGGGCTGGACGCGCGTCCTCGCCTGGCCCGGCGCCGGCTGACCTCACCCTGAGCCTGACCGGGCCGTCCCGGGGCTCTGCCAAAGTCAGACCGTGGGATTAACCCTCGCTCGGACCTGCAAAACCTTTGCCTCCTTTAATGAACCAAAACAACCTGGTCCCCTACGCCCGCCCGGTAAACCTTACGCGTCCCGGTCGTTCCGGTCTTAAATGAAGCTACTTTGAAATTTACATCGACCAGATTGAACCACTGATCATCAGTTGCCAACTAGCCACTTTAAAGAGGCAATGAAAACAAAAAGAAGAAGAAATGGGTTTAATGCAGTAAGTCCCTAATTAGAATGCCAGGAGACCTAGATTCGGGTCCTGCTTCTGCTCCCAAACAAGGCGCCTTTAAAAGCCTTCGCGGGCTTCACATCCTTCAACTTCATCTTAAGTTAAACAAAGGAGGGGCGAGAGGCGGCCAACTCAGAAAACACCTGCAGAATACCATTGGCTGTAACTTCTAACCCTCCTAGCGCTGGGGACACCTGAGTGGCTGGAACACGGGAATGAGAGAAAGACTTTTTCCGTATTCTTAAATTTCACCACTTGTGAAGTCAGGCAACACTTTGTGCACAATCCTGCCTTTAAAATGATCACACGTAAAAGTCAGAATTGGGAATATTACTATGAAGTCTAGTTTAATTAGTGTAAACAGTTATAATATCTATAAGCATTTCTTCATTAATTCTTAAACTGGCTTTATATTAAATCAGAAATTTCTTGCATGACATCACAAAAAAGTAAAAAAGAATAACGTTCACATATTACAGGTTTTAAAAAGAACAAAGAGGTTTTATACTTTTTTTTTTTTTTTTTTTTTTAATCCTCACTCGAGGACATTTTTCCATTTTTTGTTCAGACAGCGGGAGGAAGAGAGAGAGAGAGAAACATCGACGTGAAGGGACACATCGAGTGGCTGCCACCCGCACGACCGACCAGGGCCGGGGACAAACTGCAACCGAGGTACGTGCCCTTACGGGAACCGAACCCGGGTCTCAAAGAGGTTTTTTAGTCCTTAAATAAAAACACCTGGAGGACAGACCATTTTAACCCCACTAATCTGCTCTTCAGGTGACAACTGGTATAGTCCTTTCCGTTGTAATCATGGTAAAATGCTATTTCTACTGCATTGTTCTACACCCTGAAGAAGAATTTATTCTCACCACTATATTGGATAAAGGTAATTGGAAGAAAGCAGACTGAGAAAACATGCTAGCTTTGTAACAGTTGGTTAGACAGAAAAGTTGATAGATATCTTAATTATGGTTTTCAAGAACATAAGGGTTAACATGGCACATGATACTGATAGCCACTAATTATCCTTATAAAAACAAAAGGAAATTAGCTTTTAGGACTTTGTGTTTGACAGGTTTTCTTTTTTTTAAATCCTCCTAAAAGTACAGACAGCATGTAACATTGTAGGATTTCCTACATCCAAAATATTTTAAAACAGCAATAACAACTGAAAAAACAAGATACGCAATTACCTAGTTGTCTAAAATGGATTAAATGTAGTTTTCCCTGAAACATGAAAGAATGTGGGCAGTCTCTGTAAGTACTGAAATTAACTAAAGATGTTAAACTTTTGTCTCTAGATATTAGTGTGCTTACAATTTAAGAAAGGTAATTTTAGAATCAGTCAAAAGTTATTTTCATTGTAAATAGGAGAAAATGAAATTATTACTGTGATAAAAGAAGGAATAGAACATATAAAGGATCCACAGGAATTCATACATGTGTGGGTGAAAACACATACATGTGTTTACAGACAGTAACCTCATAGGATGATCTGATCATAAATTCCTAACCATGCAAGTCATGATGAGTAGTTATGCCCCAGGCATACAACTGCTTCAGTGAAAGATTTATAAGCAAGCTGTTTTTCTTATTTGTGTGCATCTAGGTTAACACACCTTTGAAACATCCCTGGAATGTGTAACCTCGTTAACTGTAGTGTAATCCGATTTCCCACCATGCTTTCTCCCTCAACTTCAAGTTCATACAAGAAACTGGAAAACTGTTATTCTCTGAAGCATTTGAAATCTTGGTTCCAGGCAATTGTTGTCACTTCAGCTCAAATAAACTCTTTTTTTTTATCCTCACCCGAGGACATTTTTGCATTTATCTTCAGATAGAGTGGAAGGGAGAGAGGGAGGAAGAGAGAGAAACATTGACGTGAGTGAGACACATCGACTGGCTGCCACCCACAGGACCCCAACCGGGGCCGGAGACTAACTGCAACCGAGGCATGTGCCCTTAGCCGGAACCGAACCCGGGACTCTCTGGTCCGCAGGCCAACACTCTAACTGCTGAGCCAAACTGGCCAGGGCTCAAATAAACTCTTATTAAAAAAACTCTCTGCAGTTTTGAATCTTCTTATGTCGACATATATATGGACTAGGTGCATTTGAAAAAGTACCAAACAGAACTTTTAAAATTTTTTGGAAATTTCTGGCCAAAGATTAGAACAGACTCCCATTTCTTTATCAAATTCTAAGCTAAGAAATAAATTCATTTTGTAAGACAATGAAAGTGTTAGAACACAAAAAGTAAGGTTTGGGGGAAGAGGGTGGGGTAGCTTATTGTGTTTTGTTTTTATTTATTATTTATTTTTATTAATTTATTTTTGTTACAGATGTTTCTCCTTTTTCCTCAAAACGGTTTTTCAGCCCAGCCGGTGTGGCTCAGTGGTTGAGCATCGACCCATGCACTAAGAGGTCTCTGGTTCAATTCCTGGTTAGGGCACATGCCCCCGAGGTCGTGGGCCAAATCCCCAGTGGAGGGCATGCAGGAGGCGGCCAGTCAATGTTCTCTCTCATTGATGTTTCTATCTCTCTCATTTCCTCTCTCTCTAAAATCAATAAAGAAAAAAAAAAATTTTTTTTAAAGAGTTTTTCAAAAAAGTTTATTTTCCAGGAGTTGAGAAAGTTCAGAGAGAAAAAAAAAAAAAAAAAGATCTGTTTAAAGTTAAATGCCTCTAAGAAATGACCTGGTCAATGTTTCCCTTGAGACAAGTTGTATCCCTCCTTATATCTAACATGACTGGCATAGGATTTCAACTTTTCCTTTCTTTTCGCTTTTTTTTTTTACTCTTCACCTGAGGATACTTTTTCCCACTGATTTTTAAAGAGTGTGTAGGGGGCTGGGGGGGTGGGGGGGACACTGATTGATAGGTTGCTTCCAGCACGCATACCCTTGTCCAGGAATTGAACTTGTGACCCTTCAGTGCACAGGCCAACACTGTAACCACTGTGCCACACTGGCCAGGGCTCCTTTCTTTTTAAGATTTTTTTCCATTGATTTTGAGAGAGAGAGAGAGAGGAAGGAAGAGGGAGAGAAAGAGAGAAACATCAATGTGAGAGCCAAACACTGATTGGCTGCCTCCTGCACGCCCCCTGCCAGAAATCAAGCCGAAAACTTGTTCGTGTGCCCTGACAAGAATCAAACTGGCAACTTTGCTGTGCATGGGATGACACCCAACAACCGAGCCACAACTGTCCAGGGCTTACTTTCTTATTTGAGGTATTGAGAGGCAGTCTTCTTCTATTTGCTAACAAAAAAATAAGCATGCAAAATTTTATATGACAATGGGAAAAAAAATTAGCATTATTTGGGAAAGCTGACAAAGAACATTTTGTATTACACAGCAATTTCAATCACTAAAGAAACACAAACTCTTAGCCCTGGCCAGTTTGGCTCAGCGGTTAGAGCGTCGGCCTGCGGTCCGGAGAGACCCGGGTTCGGTTCCCGCTAAGGGCACGTACTTCGGTTGCAGTTTGTCCCCGGCCCTGGTTGGTCGTGCGGGTGGCAGCCACTCGATGTGTCCCTTTCACGTCGATGTTTCTCTCTCTCTCTCCCTTTCTCTCTCTCCCTCCCACTCTATCTGTACAAAAAACGGAAAAATATCCTCGGGTGAGGATTAAGGAAAAAAAAACAAAACAATTAAAAGAAACACAAACTCCTATTTTGAGGTACTTTGTAGTGAAATGTATTTTCTATTTTGATTAACTGATTTGAAAGAGAGAGTGAGAAACATCAACTTTTGTTCCACATGTTCATGCATTCATTGGTTGCTTCTTGTACGTGCCCTGCCAGGGATGGAACCTGCAGCCTTGGAGTATCGGGATGCTCTAGCCAGCTGAGCAGTCCAGGGCACATCGTAGTGAAGTTTAAAGAAAATTAAGGAGCCCTGGCCAGTTTGGCTCAGCGGTTAGAGCATCGGCCTGCGGACCAGAGAGACCCGGGTTCGGTTCCCGCTAAGGGCATGTACCTCGGTTGCATTTTGTCCCCGGCCCTGATT